TAATAATAATAATAATAATAAGAGAGTCGGTGTTTTACACTATCTCATATTTTAAAAAAAATAAATCATTGTCGATGTTGGTTAATTTAGAGTTCTAAAATAGAACATCTTTTAATGATATTATATTATGCACTCGCTTATCATTTTGAATACTTTTCATAGATATCAATTATCTATATTTAATGATGCTTAGATTCTTTACGTGTTGACTTTGTTTTTTTTTTTCATGGATTTGATTTGGTATCTGTGTTCTTTTATTTTTCCAATTTTTTAATAAAAAATTTATGTAATAACAAATGATAATTGCATTTTGGAGTATCAACTTATACTTATACTCATGTGAAAAACACTTTTTATAAAAATATTATAGCGATTCTAATCTATCACGTACAAAAAGTGTCGTGATGACAATTTTGTAAATAATACGATATTTTTTATACTAGTTAGACCTAAAACCGGTATAGAAAGTGAAGCGGTAACAATCTGGTAAATAGGTGAAAGACATTTTATATTTGTTCCTCACTATAACTAGTATAATATCTTAAATATTCATCTTTTTCTTCTTTGTGCTTTTATTCATTTTGAGTTAATTATCTATTTGTACTATTCATTTTATGTTAATTATGTATTTCATTATTCATTCCAACTTTAACCCTAATCCCTAACTTCTCCACAACCTCCTTCACCTTCACCTCTATTATTCTCATGCTTTTCTTTGAAAGGAACATCTTGCCCGACAATCAATCTCCTTCACCTCCAAACAATTTTGTCAGTTTCATGGCTTAAACCCTAATCATATGGTGTCTTATTGTTTGCGAAGAAGTTGAGGTCCTTGTAGACTTGATGCCAGACATTCAAAGGTTTAGCTCAAAGCTTTGACACTTTCTCAACATCTTTTTTCTTTCTTCGCTTTAGTGTCTTCCAACTTGAAACTTTCACAATTTCTCATAATCTTTTTCCTTTTTCTTTCGAGTCAAAACTATGGAAAGTGGTAAATTAAAACAACGAAACCAAGGTGCAATAAACAATAAGACGAATGTGGCTTTTCTTTTTCTTCAAGACAATGGAAACTTCCTCTTCTTTTGTTTGACACCAATTGTGCCACTAGACTTGGTGATAACATTAATCACCAAAGCATAAGGAAGATAAGATGAGACAAAATATGATGAAGGCCAAACTTCAATTTTGCAATTAGAGTGCAACATTTGTTAGGTAAGTTTGGAAAATTAAAATTAAATTTCTGATTATACGAGTTTCTTACATTGTTTTTCTTCTAAGTATTCTATGCAATATATATCTTTTCAATTTTTTTTAAATGATTAACTATAGTTAGACAATGATTGAATATAGCTTTTCTAGTTGCACTATGGAACTTTCTCTTCTTTATTTCCTTAAGTTTTATGTTATGTTTGGGTGCATAGGATTATTGATTGGGATTTGTATACCAGTTGTGGCTTTAATGGGTAAAGAAAGAAATACTTTTTACACTAATTCTGGACCTAGTATAGAAAACTGAAAATTTTGTATACTGATGAGTGCATAGTCATTTTCTCATTTTGTCTTTAATATTGAATTTTTAATTGGTTTTTGTACTTTAATATAATATTTTAATTAGGATTTTTTATAATTGGGTTTACTTAGCATGATATGCAAAAACATATTAAAAATAGCTTTTTAGTTGCATAAATGTTCTTTGGATATTTTGAGGTGTGTTAGTGAAGTTGTTCATTGAGATGTGGAAATAAATTGGATAAAGTGTCATGACACCTTAAAGATAAATCCAAAAATATTAAATAATCAAGACCACAAGAAGTCAATCCAAGCATAGTATGAAAAAGTGAAGAAATTTAGCTAAGCCAAGAAGAGGGAACAAGCAAAAAAAATTAGATATTGCAGTTCTCTTTAGTGGTTCAAATTTAGTCCTCTCTCTCTTCTCTCATGTTCTTCATCCTCTCTTCTTCTATTTTCATGGTATTTCAACATTCCATGAAGTATTAAGTCTCTAAGGTTGATTATGTTGTAGTTCATTATGAATGATGAGGTTAGATGAATAAATTTGTTTATTATTTTGATTCTTGTGATTTTTTTTTTGTCTTTTGCTTCTTAATCAAGTAAAAGTAATGATTTTTACATTATAGAAAGTTAGCACGGTGTTACATCTACATAACATATAAATCATATGAGTCTAATGGTTTTCAATTTTAATTAAGAATTTACTTTGATTAAATTTAGAAACTTTCATATGATTGAATGGATTTTTGCTACCAATTGAGAATGTACTTTGATTTGAAGCACCTGAAAAACACTAAAAGGGGGGTTGAATAGTGTTTATGAAAAACATTTTCGTAATGCTTATGATATAACACCTTGCGAGAGTGTAAAATATTCTTTGAAAAGGCTTAAACGCTCAACTTCAAATATAAGCGTTTAAAAGAACAATGTGTTATTTAAAATAATTTCTACTTGGAAGTTCTTATATTTTCAAATATAAATCTCAATTACAGGTTTTCTAAGAGGATCATTTAGTAAAAAGAAGAGAGAATAACACAATAAATTTTACATTGGTTCGCTTCAACTAAGCTACGTCCAACCTCGTCCATAAAGGATTCCACTATAATCTTCACACGATTACAAATGAGTATTCGCACCACTCTTGGTACACAACTACCTCGTCGAGATTTCCATTGAGTATTCGTACCACTCCTGGTACTCAACACCCTGTAGAGATTTTCTTGAGTATTCGAAACACTCTTGGTACTCAGCACCCTGTCGATATTTCTTTGAGTATTCGAACCACTCTTGGTACTAGACTATTGTACCTATATTCCTCAACTCAAAAAAGTTTAGTTGTAAGTATTTTAATTCTCTACAAAATTGCAATCAACGCTTGCTTACAAGAAGTTTAGACTAAATCTCTCTATGAGAGGATCTGATTACAATATAATACAGTTTAAACACTCGCAAGAGTTCTCTCCAAAAATCGTACAACAGTAAGAGATTTGACGCTTAAGCTCGAGAGTATCAGTTTCCCTATTCTCTTCTCTTATCTTTTCTTCAACTTAGATGTATTTTTTTTTCTTTGAGATCTCTCCTTTTCTCTTTAGGATGGATATGTCATTGTAAGCTTTGTGCACTTTGGCTATCCTTTATTATATTCTTTTGATTTTCTTCTTGAGAGATCTTCTATTTATAGACTTGGTGAATATTTTTCTGTTAGACTGTGTTTGTAGTTCGTAATGTTGATGCTTGTATTTTCTCTTTCTTCTTTCACAATAGTCATTGTGTAAGGCAACTTTTTCAGAGCAGGCATGCTTTTTCAGTCCTTTGCTTGAAGTAGGTTGTACTATTTTTTTAGATTTTGCTTCAAGTGAGGAACGTCCATGATTATCTCTTTTGTATCTAACGTCCACATTTCAGGTTCTAGTTTTTGTTTGTTTAGGATTTTGGGTCTATGTTTTTATCCTAGATTGCTTTCTGTTTTAATGTTATTTAATTAAACTTCAAAACATGAGATTCTTTGTTCATGTAGACTATTTTGTCTTTAACATGATTAGTGGTAAAGACTTTAATAAGAATTAATTAATAATTACTTTGGTTAATTAGTTTTTTTTCTTGATATAAGAGTAAAAGAATAGACATGATTAGTCATAGTAATATTTAATTGGAATCTGATTAATCTATAAAGTTATTGCTTTTAATTAAGATTGTACTTTGGTTGAGAGTGAGAGCGCAACAAATTAATTAATTGAGAATTTGTATAGATTAATTTGAAAATCTAAGACAATAATTAATTAAACAATAATCCTTATAAAACCAATGAAGAATCCTATTTTGAAAAAGTTGTGAAATCAGCATATTTTCTTTATCGTTATTTTTATTTTTTTAAATCTTTTTATAAATTAATTTATTTCTATCTTTTGTTATTTTGTTCTTTAATCTTTTATTGATATTTATCTTCTTTATTGTTTTTTTTCACCAACCCTTCTTTATAGTTTTTATAAGAACTAATTTCTTAAGAATCAATTTCGAGTTCGTTGGGAGACGACTAAGGGTTAAATTTACGCTTTCTATTTTGTTGGCTACTATTTAGCAATACTGAAGTTTCTATAGTTTAATAGTATTAATTTGATCGCCGAGAAACACGGTTAGAAGTAATTGGAGGAGATTGTATTATCATAAAGAAGATTATAACAATAGAAAATCCTAAAATAAAGCACAATCCAATTTCTATATAAAAGGACTTACGAAAACACACTAAGGGAGCTTAGGAAACCCTTTAGGAGTTCAAATTTCGTCATCTCTCGCTTCTTTCATGTTATTCACCCTCTCTTTTTCTATTTTCATGTTATTTCAACATTTATTGGAATCTTAAGCCTCTGTGATTGATTATGCTGTAATTTTATTTGTTCTGAGGTCAGATAAATAAATTTGTCTGTTCTTTTGATTCTTGTTATGATTTATTTTTATTTATTTTTTTTTTCTTAATAAAATAAAATAAATAATTTTTACATTATAACAAGTTAACATGGTGTTAAATCTATATACCATATTAATAAATTCAAGATTTTTTAATTTTAATTGAGAATTTATTTTGATTGAATTTAGAATTTTTTTTCTAAATTTTATAAAAAAAACCAGTAATATATAAGAGATACTTAATTCAAACTTAACATTAATATATATCTTCTATTAGAAAGTTCCAAAACAATTTTTACAAAACTAATGTACCTTTTGTTTTTAATTTACTAAAATGGGCAATATAAAGAAAAATACGTGACTAAATTATCATCGTAGCACAATTTTATTACGAAGAAATCATATAAAAATAATATGACTTTAGTATAAATATTTTTAAATTAAAATCGTCCAGAAGAATATGTATTATTTTAGTTTAATTTTGATAGAATTTATTTGAAATTAATATGGCTTTAAGTTAAAATATTTTAAACTAAAATCTTAGACCCTTGACACAATTTTTTCACGGTAAAATGTAACTATCACTAGTAAACCATATGCATAATGTTCTTAAGAGTAAATTTATTTTGAAAACAATAACCTGCTTTAATAGATAGTCTAGATCATCAATGCATCTTGCAGTGACGGCGGGTAAGTCAGAAAGTCATCGAACTTAATTCTTCAATTAAAGCTATCAAATCAGAGTCAGAGGATCCTCCTTCTTCCATGGCAAGCCTAGCCTGCTTCGAGAGGTTCTTTGCGCTGTTCCTCATTACAATGGCTGCTTCCCCAGTCATTATGCTCTTCACTGCCTTCTCCAACGCATCCCATGAAACACTATCTCCTTCTAATCCATTCCACTTTTTGGCACCGACAGGTACCCCAATTTTAAGGACTTCTGTTACCAATTTCTCATTGAAAAATTGGTCGGCATAAATTGGCCATGTTATCATGGGAACCCCAGCAGTCACTGATTCCAAGGTTGAATTCCATCCACAATGGGTCACAAATGCTCCCGTTGCCTTGTGTTCAAGAATTAACACTTGAGGTGCCCACCCTCTTATGATTATTCCCTTCCCTTTCATCCTTCTCTCAAATCCATCAGGTAGCCATTCAACTTCATCTTCTTTGCTTTTCCTCACCACCCATATGAATGGTTGCCCTGAAGCCTCGAGACCAATAGCAATCTCTCTAAGTCGAGAATCAGATAACAGTGTTGTTCTTCCAAAGCATTCTTAAACAACTGAGTTGGGTTTCTTTGTGTCAAGCCATTTTAGACACTCGTATTCATGCACAGACGCCTCCTTTCCTCTGTGCGCCTTTTCTTCGACGTCCCTGTTGCAAAGAGATAAGGGACCAATATGCCATGCTTTTCTTCCAAGCACCTTGCTGTAAAGATCCGCATAATCCTTCTCGAGTGCGTAGAAGGTATTAACAACAACCCCATGGCTTCTCAACTCTGATTCGTTTGCTTCCCTCAACAATTTGATCATGGTCGTTCGGTCACCCGTGCCATAAGATCTCAACGACGTCCTTGCTATTTTAATCTCACCCGGAAGATTAGGAATGGTGAGTGACTCAGAATCGGAAGAAACATCGTTGTTAGGGTCGATAAGTTGCATACACGTTGTAGCACAGAGTGAAAAGAGACTAGTTCCATGGAAGACGAGCCTAGGAATTCCAAATTTGGCGGCAGAATCAGTTGCCCATGGGAAGAACATATCAGCAACAACGCAATTTGGACGTTGCTCGTGCAATAGTTGTTCAAGTGGCTCTTGTAGCAAAGAGGTGGCCAGAAAGAAACTTTCAATCAAATATGGGTTAGTGATTGAATCAGTAATTTCAAGGCCATCAGGTAAACCAACCTCTGCAGAAGAGAACTTGATGGTTTGGATCTGGATCTCGTTGTCAGTTTTTGCTTTTCCAATGGCTTTAGAGATAAAAGGTGCGTTGCCTGGTGTGGTGATAATGGTGGCCTTCACACCCTTTTCTGCAAATAATTTAGCCATGTCAACTGTTGGTATTATATGACCATAAGCCAAGAAGGGAAAGAAGAAAATGTGCAGACTATGCTGTTCAATACTGCTACCCATTTTTCTCTTTACTAAGTATAACTATGTAAACTTTGCCCCTCAAGCTTAAATAATGAGGAATATATGTACATAAGGCCTTTATATATATTGAGAGGTCCAGAAACCTTCATAAATACGGCAGAGAAAGACCAGATAGTATAGTTGCAATGAGTATATTTTACGTCCACAAAAATATTACTTTTTAATATTAAATTCTAATAATGTAACTGATGACGCTTGAGAACTGTTATTTTTATATCTAAAATTAACTTCAATTATAACCTCTATGACTTAGAAATTAGTTTGAACTCATGATTTTGTTGAATTGTTGGAAATAAGAGAATTGGACACGTTTTATGCTTGATTTCCTTGTTTTTCAGGTTTTGAGATGAAATTGATGAAAGAAGTGAAAATGGATAGAGATGGAATCAGAAAAGGACACAAAAAGTACAAAAGAAGAGAAACCGGAAGTAACGCTCAGCGCAAATTACCGCTGAGCGGCACTTTTCTGGGCTTGGACCTACTTTTCGGTATTTTTTAAAATAATATATAAGGTTTTAGTTAACCTAGGTCAGTCATCTTTGGTTGGGACGAAGCAAAAACACATTCTTTCACCCCTTGGAGGAGGATTTTGGATGCTAAGACTCCTTTCTCAACTTTCTAGGGTTCTATCCTTCACTTTTCCATTGTATTTCATCTAGTTTCACCATGAATATGGTGAATTAAACTTATTTTTTTGTTGGAGAATTAATGTAAATCCTTAGAAACTCTCTTGTATGAAATTTGTTCTTCAAGATCATTTTTATGATACATGCTTTCTTTCATTAATTGTTAGAGATATTCTTCTTTGCTCAAATGCTTGTGATATTTTATTCATGTATGGCATAAATCTTATGATTTGTAAGTATCAGGAGATTTCGTACTCCTAGGGTTGGACGATTTGGGGATGTGATAGCTCTCCTCTTCTCTCCCTAGGATTGTTATTGAGAGATATCTTACAAATCACGATCTGGGGAATTTTTCCAACAGTATATTACAAACCTAGACATAGGAGTATGATGGTTGGTTGCCTTTAAGCTTTTGTTCACTATAATGCATGATTAATTGTTAGGGAAACAAGACATTGTAAACTAGTGATTATGATTAGGCTTTCTTCGCCAAGACATCGAGTTTAAAGTAATTTAGAAAGTGACATTAACATTAATGAAAAGAATGATGAATTCCTAAATACAAGAGAGTGGATTGGATGAAATTGATAAACCCCAACAACATATTCATTCATATATTTCAATTCACGTGTTTTGTTTCTTCTTGTCCATTGATCATCACATGCATACATATTTACTTTTCAGTCTTTTTGCATTTGAAACTTACAACAATTTGTTCACAAGTCTTAATTAATCAACAAAATCACACAACTGTCTAGGTCGTGAGTCCTTTGGGAGAACGATACTTGGTCTTACTAGATTTATTACTTGATACGATTCGGTTACACTTGCCGAAGGTTAACAAGTTTTTGACTCCGTTTTCGGGGATTGAAAATTTGTTCATCAGTAACTACCTGAAATATTTAAAGATAAATTTGAAATCAATTATTAATTTTTATTAATAAAAGAAACTATTTTAAATATGAATAATTTTTACTTTATAAAATATTATTTAATTTAATTAATATAATGATTAATTATCTTTTATTTTTAGATCAGTTTTATTTAATAATTTTCGGATTAAATATAATTTTTGTTTCTAAAATATGTGGTTTTTGTTTTCATTTTTGTCTAAGATTTTGGTCGTCCAAATACTTTGGAAATATATGAATGTATTCTTCAGGTTCAAGATTCTTATTTTTTTTTACACATTGACATGTGTTTTCTTCTTCTTTTCATTTTCTTTTCTTGTTTTTCATGACCGCTCCTCCTCTCCTGGACCCTTCTTCTCATTCTTTTTTCTAGTGCAGTGTCTATTTTTATAACACAATGTTAGTGTGACTCGTTGTTTGCTACGTAAAAAAATTAACATTGGACGAGAAAGATTGCAGACCTAATAGGAACAAAGTTTAAGACAAAGACAAAAACTAAAATTGTATTCTAGTTTAGGAACTAAAAACATATTTAACCCATGATTTTATTATACTGCCATAAACATAGATCGTTCATTCTAAACCTTTCAACTACCTTAGTCAAATACACTAGTTGAGATAGATAGAACTTTCATACTATGTAATCTTTCTATATGTCTATCCTAAGTAATCACCTTGTGGAACCGAGATCCTTCATCTAAATAGTTGAACTTAATTTTAGCCTTTTTATTTCACTTTAATACAGGTTGGCTATAAGCACATCATATAAGTACAAGAGCAAGAAAAATCACACTCCTTTCTTGTCTTTGCAAACTGTAGACACAAATATCATAATTAGTCCTCTAGAACCTTATCTACCTTAGAAAATCATTAAATCTCTTGTACCATAACCCTTGGGCTTTGTTTCAAGACATATAGAGATTTATGTATTAGACACATATTTCTTTCATCTTCAATAAACCCCTCAAGTTGGTTTATTTAGATGAATCTCTTTTAAGATTACATGTTGAAAATTCTCCTCGTATNATGTCTATCCTAAGTAATCACCTTGTGGAACCGAGATCCTTCATCTAAATAGTTGAACTTAATTTTAGCCTTTTTATTTCACTTTAATACAGGTTGGCTATAAGCACATCATATAAGTACAAGAGCAAGAAAAATCACACTCCTTTCTTGTCTTTGCAAACTGTAGACACAAATATCATAATTAGTCCTCTAGAACCTTATCTACCTTAGAAAATCATTAAATCTCTTGTACCATAACCCTTGGGCTTTGTTTCAAGACATATAGAGATTTATGTATTAGACACATATTTCTTTCATCTTCAATAAACCCCTCAAGTTGGTTTATTTAGATGAATCTCTTTTAAGATTACATGTTGAAAATTCTCCTCGTATCCAATTGTTCCAACATCATATTGTAATACTTAATAATTGACATTAAAATCCATATCAAACAATGTTTTATAAAAGGTGAAATTATTTTATTACATTTTACCCTATCAACTTGTGTTAAAACTTTTTCCACCACTCTTACCTTAATCTTTCTTTCTTCACACCCAACATTCCTTCCTTCTTCTAAAGTACTCATTTGTATCCAACTACATTTTAAATATTTGGATAGATAAACTCGTGTCCAAGTGTGGTTCTTCTTGAAAGATTTTCTCAGTGGCAACTTGTCACTAACCTTTCATACCTCCTATAGCCTTTCTGAACCTTATAGGCTGTAAACCCTGTATATCTCCAATTGCAATGGAAGTAAGATAATATAATCATTCTCCTCTCTCTATCACGTATAAGCTTGTAGTTGGAAACCAAATTTGTACATCTTAATCTTCTTTAGTGAGAAGTAGAATATTGATTCTCATTGCTTAACCTCTCCAAACGATTAGATCCATTTCCACAAGGCTCCACTTGTAACACCTCAGCTAAGATGATGCTAAAACTATATCTCACACTTATACCAAAAACAAAACAAATTAAAACTATGATACCATTGTTTAACATAAGGAGAAAACCACTTTATTCACCAAGTACTAAAAGAATACATGTCTCATTTGTAACACCCCTAACACCACGAGTATAAATTTTTTTAAAACATTCATGTTAGCATAAAGCTGAAGAGAAGAAGTTTTGATGATGTCTCAAGTGCTTTTGCTGTAAGAAGATCTTCATGAAGACTTGTTTTGTTTTAAAGCTTTTGTAATTTAATAGATTTATGTATAGGATGTGATTTATCTTTGATTCTATGTATTGTTTGCCTTAGGTTGCGTTAAAACTCGTTTTGAATCATAAAACCTCATTTTATACTCAAGATAATAATCGATTATCCATAATAGATTATGACTTGCCATAATCGATTATCACGAGCAATTATGAGAATTTTTAAACAAGCTTTTGACCGTTGTGCATTCATTAAATGCATAATCGATTACCATAAGTGGATAATTGATTATCACACGTTAAATTGTTAACAATGAATTTTTTGAGGTATCCTTAAGTGAGATCTCTATAAATTGGATTGAGACTCTCATTCTAATATAAGAAATACTTTGTATTCAAAATTCTTATCTATTGTGTGATGTGATAAGTGTTCTAGGGTTGTGCAACTCTTGTGCTCTTGACTTTGAGAACATGGTGGTTGCATAGAGCGAGAATTTTCATGGGAGTTGTGATTGAGTGTTGTTGTTGTTGTTGTTGAGTTAAAGCTTGTCATCCTTTATGAAGATTTCAAAGGAGGTGTTAATCTCTTGGGGTAATAAGAGAGGTTTTATAACCTTAAACTGTGTTATTTTCATTGTTATTGTAACATTTTGTTGGTTTGTGATAGTGAAGCGTTAATTCTCATTTGAGATTAACAACTGGACGTAGGATCTCTGTGATCCAAACCAATATAAAAATCACCTATGTAATTTTCTCTCTTCCTTACTATTTAGTTTGTTTAAATTGTTTTTAAGGGATTCATATTTTACAAAATTATTAAAGGTATTATTTGAGATAAGAAACCAATTCACTCTCTTCTTGGTTTGTTGTACACGCTAACTATTCTGCTACATCACTCTGACAATTCACATCAGATAATCAAACTTTATTTGGTTATATGCAAAAGCAAAATCATAACTATAAACCTCGTTTGTTCAAAACAAAAATCTTAGAATATCACTTTTACATAAAAGTACCAAGTCGAAAAACTTTTAAATAAAGAAAAATAAATAATCAACCCCAAACAGAAATGTCCCAACTCTCGTCAACTACTTCGAACCGGTCTTATCTACAACACCATCTACTCCCTTACAAGTACGATCATCGTAAGTGGAAACTACAACCATAAACATGTAAGGGTGAGCAACCATAAATATCATAACATAATATATTCATAATAATCACAAAATAAGATAACTAACACATCATATTTCATCACAGACTTAACAGTATAGACCAACAGTTCATGAACCAATGTCGTTTCCTTTCATTGTGTGGTC